ATTTATATACTAACTTTATTCTAGTAAGAGATAAAAACTTTACTACTTCATAGCTTTATTCTCTTTTCTTTTTGGGTGATTATTATTATACTTACTATGTCTACATATGTTTAAAAACTCAAGAATGCATGGTTATAATTATTGCTTTGCAAAATTTTATGTATTTTAAAGAAGATTAGAGAAAAAAGAGAACACAAACATATTTACTCTGTTTTGAAAATTTCAACCTCCTTATAACTTTTGGCTCACTTGATTTCTTCTTTTAGATTTGAAGTACCATGTGGTGTAATTTCCTTACTTGAATTATAATTTCTTTCCCACCCCATCTACTCCTTTGTGTTATTGTTGTCGAATATATTACAAATGATATGCCCCAAGAGTACACCTTAAGAAGTTTTTTATTCAATTGCTTTTTAAATAAATTTAGGAAGTAGAGGAAATACATAATCATACTTTCTTTTATAAATACCTCCATAATTACTTTACTAGCACTTTTTATTTTTTCATATGACTTCAAATTATTCTTTAGAGTCACTTGCTTTTAGCATGAAGAACCTCCTTTTGTATTTCTCGTAAGACAGATTAGCCAACAAGAAATTCTCTCACTTTTTATTTACCTGGCAATGTATTGATTTATTCTTAATTTTGAAAGACAGCTCTTCTAGATATAGGATTCTAAATTTCACAGATTTTTGAATACATCCTTTTTGCCTTCTGTACTCCATGAACTCTGAGGGGGTGTCAGCTGTTAATTTCATTGTTATTCCCCTTTATGTGATGAGTCATATTTCTCTTACTGTTTTCAAGATTTTCTTTTTATCTTTGATGTTCAATAACTTTTCGCTTATCATGTGTCTGGATGTAGCTTTTTTAATGCTTATCCTGTTGAATTTTATTAAGCTTCTTGGGTGTGTAGATTATTATCGTTTTTCATCAAATTTGGGGAATTTAGAGATCATCATTTCTTTGACTATTTGTCCTTCTTGTACTCCTGTTATGTGTATGTTGGTGTGCTTAATGGTGTCTTACATTTTTCTGAGCACCTCTTCATTTTTCTTCATTTTTTTTCTGTTACTCAGATTTGTATTGTTTCTATTGCTTTTCAAGTTAGTTTGTTCTTTCTTTTGCCTGCTCAAATCTGCTGAATTTTTCATTTCAGTTATTGTACTTTTCAATTCCAGAATTTTTGTTATTTTTTATTTATTTTATTTTATTGCATTTTAGGTTTTGGGGTACATGTGAAGAACATGCAAGATTGTTGCATAGCTACACACATGGCAGTGTGATTTCCTGCCTTCCTCCCCTTCACCTATATCTGGTGTTTCTCCCCATGCTATCCCTCCCCAACTCCCCAACCCCACTGTCCCTCCCCCATTTCCCCCCGACTGACCCCAGTGTGTAGTGCTCCCCTCCCTGTGTCCATGTGTTCTCATTGTTCAACACCCGCCTATGAGTGAGAACATGCAGTGTTTGATTTTCTGCTCTTGTGTCAGTTTGCTGAGAATGATGGTTTCCAGGTTCATCCCTGTCCCTACAAAGGACGCGAACTCATCGTTTTTGATGGCTGCATAATATTCCGTGGTGTATATGTGCCACATTTTTCCTGTCCAGTCTATCATTGATGGGCATTTGGGTTGGTTCCAGGTCCTCACTATTGTAAACAGTGCTGCAATGAACATTCGTGTGCATGTGTCCTTATAGTAGAACGATTTATAATCCTTTGGATATATACCCAGTAATGGGATTGCTGGGTCAAATGGAATTTCTATTTCTAGGTCCTTGAGGAATCGCCACACTGTCTTCCACAATGGTTGAACTAATTTACACTCCCACCAACAGTGTAAAAGTGTTCCTATTTCTCCGCATCCTCTCCGGCATCTGTACTTTTTAATTGTATGTCTTACAATGTTTTGTTGAAAACTAGACATTTTGGAAAATGTATTGTAGCAAGTCTAGATACTGTTTCTCCTCTTTCTGGAGCTTATTGTTTTTGTTGTTTAGTCATTTATTTTTCACTTGGCTGAACTAATTTGGTGTAATTTATTTTCCCCACACTGTGTGGCCTCTAATATTCTTCCTTGGAATTTTCCCCCTCGTTTTTATCTATTCATGGCTTCTTATGGAGTAACCCCTGCATCCTAGTTCACTTACTGGCCCAAAGTTGTGCTTAAACTCACTTAGCCAGTTAGATTTTTCATCCTTTCCTGTGGGATGTGTGTTTGTTTAGAGACTGTTTTTATAGCTCAGGGAGTTTGTGGTTTTGTCTTGCATTCATCCAGGGACTAATAGCTTGTAGACTCTTTCTCTGCTGGTGCCCAAGAAAGCATAGTCTTGGCCATGTGCACAGTCTCCCAGATCCCTCGGTATGAGGTCGATTTGATTTTTAAGCTGGCTTTCCTGGATCTTAGTTTAGCTGGCTTTCCTGGATCTTAGTTTAATTTTCAGTTGGTGTTTAGTTAGAGGTTCTGCTTAAGGCCCTGGAGCCAATGAGGCTGAAGGTCCTTTGCTGATAGATCTGTGTATGCCTTGGGTAATGCTTTTTAGTCTGCCTTAATACTTTCTCTGATTGTGCCTGAGTGGGTGCAGAATGGCACATGTGCACAGTCTTCTGGACCTCCAGGGATAAGTATGACCCCAGGGGTTTTCTTCTTGGCTGTTAACCTGGTTCTCTTTGGTAACCTTCTGGTTGGTCTGCTGACTATTATCATGGAGCTATCAACTCCCTCTTAATTGCTCACTACCAGGATCTCCATTGTTTTCAGCAGTGCCCTTAGACATGAACTTCTCCATGCTCGGTTTTAAATACATCAGTCCCCTCAGGAAGAGATGCAGAATTCTTCTTTGCTGCTGGCCCTTGCTTCTGGTCAGAACCTCTGAGCCACATGACTAGAGCTCGGTGCAGGGAGCATGGCATGCTTTTATTGCTATCGTATTAGTAAATTCTGGCAGTGTGGCAGCCTTTGGTCTTCTTAGTGTGCCCTTTTGACATGGAACCTCTGCCTGATGAATCAGCTGGGTTGAAGATGATCAGAATCTCAGAAGTCTTGACCTGTCACATTTGGGGTTGAATTCTTACTCTTAAGAGTGAGAGCTGAGTAGGCAGAGAAAATCTAGTCCTCTCTATTGTGCTTGCCCAGAACACTTCCATGACACAGGCTTGGGAATGTCAAGATAGTCTGGCAGCCTGCTTCTCCACAGGTGAAACTGTAGCCTAGGATTTTAGGAGCTGTGGGGAAAAGTAATTCCTATCTTCTTGGCTGCACCGATCTAGAGTAGCTTCCATCACTTGGAGCCAATATAGATGGGAGCAGTTTATAGCTCAAATGCCATAGACTCTCACTGGTTTTACTGAGATTTAGTCTATTTTCATGAATAAATGTTTTCTCATTTTCTATATGCCCTTAGGACAATTTCAATTTTCAGAGGCTAAGTGGTTGTTTTAATGAATTGTCCAGATGAGTGGTTGTTTCACTGGGGAGAGTGTCTAAAGAGCGCCTTATATCATCATTGCAGAAGTTCCACCCTCATTGGTTATTTTAAAAACTGGAAGTATAAGGTTAATGTACTAAAGGAGACCTCTGTGAAATAGGGCTGACAATGACTAAGCCAGCATTATATCACTGTTAGCAATCTGAAAACTCAGTTTGACAGTTCTGGGTCATTTCTAGTTCATTTTTATTTTTATTCATTTGTTGAGACACAGTTTCACTTCGTCACCCAGACTGGAGTGCAGTGGTGCCATCTTGGCTTACTGCAACCTCCACGGCCCAGGTTCAAGCGATTCTCAGTCCTCAGTCTCCCATGTAGCTGGGATTACAGGCACGAGTCACCATGCTGGCTAATTTTTGTATTATTAATAGAGATGGGGTTTTGCCATGTTGGCCCAGCTGGTATTGAACTCTTGACCTCAAGTGATCCAACTGCCTTTACCTCCCAAAGTGCTAGGATTACAGGTGTGAGCCACTGCGACTGGCCTAGAGTTTTTTTTTTTTTTTTTTTTTTTTAAATTTTAAAGGAATATTTCAAAGTATTGTCTTCAAGTTAGTTCAATTCACCAAGATTTTATTGACATACTCCTTTGGAATACCAATTTTATGGTGAGTGATCTTTGATTTGCTTTGTAGGTGTTAGGTTTTGAAACCTTGAAACTCATATTAATATATTATTTGTGGTTATTGGAATGTCCTGTAGATAATATGGTTTAGTAATTAAAGCAGAGAACTGAAAATCGAATTTCTGTCCTCCCCAACCCCTCACTCTCATTTTCAGTACCAATCTAGGAAATATCAGAAATAATTTTATTTCTATGTTGGTTTGTTCAGCCGCAAAATGGAACTAATAGTGCTTCAGAAGGGTGGTTTGAGACTTAATGAATATTGCTAAAGCATTTGTTTCTGTGAAAACAACTGCATTTATTTTATTTTAAAAATATATTTATGTGTCTTCGGAGCTGGACATGGTGGTTCATGCCTATAATCCAACACTTTGGGATGCTGAGGCTGGCAGATAACTTAAGCTCAGGAGTTCGAGACCAGCTTGGCCAACATGGTGAAACCCCATTAAAAATACACACACACACACATAAAATTAGCCAGGCATGGTGGCAGGTGCCTGTAATTCTAGCTACTCGAGAGGCTGAAGCAGGAGAATCGCTTGAACTTGGGAGATGGAGGTTGCAATGAGTCAAGATCGCACCACTGCACTCCAGCCTGGGTGACAGAATGGGACTCCATCTCAAAAATAACTAAGTAAAAAATTAATAAATACATATTTATATTTCTTTAACTTTAAATGGCCAAAGAGCTTGTACACACTTGTAAAGCATTTAATGCAGTATATATTATAATAATTTAAGTATATTATATATATTTAATGCCATATATATGTACAAATGGAAAAGAGCATCAATATTTAAGAAAATATCTTAAAAATTATATATTACTTGAAATGGATATGTGTATATATATATATATATTTTTTTTTTTTCTTTTTAATGACAGCCAAAGCTATGATATTGGGAAGATGGATAAGGTTTCTACTGATACAGAAATGCTGGTAAGGATCATGTTAAATATTGTAGAAGTAGGTTGAAGAACCTACTTTATGTTATTATAAAATTACAATAGCATACTCACATTTATGAGTAAATTAGGTATTGGGCACATCATTTAACATCTCAGTGCATTTTAAAAATACATTTATATAATATAATCTACCTCATAGGCGTGTACTCATGAATTAATATACGTAGAGTACTTTGAACAATGTTTGACTATGTAAGTTTTAAGTTTTCTTTTCTTTTTTTTTTTGACAGAGTCTCACTCTGTTGCCCATGCTTGAGTGCAGTGGTGTAATCACTGCAACCTCTGCCTCCCAGGTTCAAGCGATTCTGGTGCCTCAGCCTCCCAAGTAGCTGGGACTACAGGCATGGGCCACTAGACCTGGCTAATTTTTGTGTTTTTAGCAGAGATGAGGTTCTGCCATGTTGGCTAGGCTGGTCTGGAACTCCTGATCTCTGGTAATCTGCCCACCTTGGCCTCTGAAAGTGCTGGGAATACAGTATTCAGCTACCATGCCTGGCCTAGTTTTAACTTTTCTTATTGCATATTTTGAAGTTGCAGATTTTTCCCCAACTACCCAGACAGAACATGCCTGGATATGGAAATTGACCTTAATATGTAATGAAGCAAAATGTGATTGTGTAAATAAATGTGTTGTAAAATTACTACATTCTATAGCAAAATGAAATTTTTTGAATATCCATTTTATTCTTACTATTACAGCATATTAATCAAAATGTAGCTGAATGCCTTTTAATATATTTATCACCATAATATGTGGGGAATAAAAGAGAGGCATAAAATGTAGCTTCTGCCTTTAAGGAACTTACGATTGAAGGATAAAACTAGTACAAGTGAATACAATGAAATATTATCCTGGCTTTAAAAGGAAAGAAATCTGACACATACTACAACATGGGTTAACTGTGAGGAGATTATGCTAAGTGAAACAAGCCATTCACAAAAAGATAATGTATGGTTCCACTATGTGAGGTACATAGAGTAGTCAAATTCATAGAGACAGAAAGTAAAATGGTGGTTTTATGGAGTAGGGAGAGGGAAAAATTGGGAACTATTATTTAATGGGTATAGGGTTTCAGTTTTGCAAGATAAGACAGTTCTTCAGATGGATGTTAAAAATGTCTAAAATGGTCATGGAGCCAGGTGCAGTGGTGTGTATCTGTAGTCCCAACTACTCAGGAGGCTAGGCCAGGAGGATTGCATGAACCCAGGAGTTAGAGGCTGCAGTGAGCTGTGATCATGCCTGTGAATAGCCAGTGGTTTCCATTTGAGAATTATAGTAAAACTCCATCTCCAAAACAGATTTTTTTGAGACAGGGTCTTGTCACCCAGGCTGGAGGGCAGTGGGTGTGATCATCTCACTGTAACCTTCAAACTCCTGGGCTCAAGCAATCCTCCCTCCTCAGCCTAGCGAGTAGCTGGGACTACAGGTGCACCCCACCACATTTAGCCAATTTTTAATTTTTTATAGAGATGGAGGTCTCACTTTGTTGCCTGGGCTGGCCTAAAACACCTGGCCTCAAGTGATCCTCCCACCTCGGCCTCTCAAGGTGCTAGAATTACAGGCATGAGCCACTGCACCTCACCTAAAATTTAAAAAGAGGGTTAAGATGGTAAATTTTATGTTATGTGTATTTCACTACAATTAAAAATAAATTATATATATATAGTGACATTGTCACTTATTATATAGCAATGAGACTCAATTAACTACAATAATTGCAACAATATGGATGTTCTCACCTATAATATTGAATAAATGAAGCAAGATACAAAGCAGTACATACTGTATGATTCCATAAATGTTAATGCCAAGAACAGTTAAAATGAATATATGGTGTTGGACATCAGGGAATTGGTTACCCCTATTTGAAATAGAATCTGAAAAGAAGCATCAGGTGAACTTGTTGCTGTTAATGTTCTGTTTCTTGATTTTTCAGTTGTTAACATACATGTGTTTACTTTGTGAAAATTCATAGAGGATAGAATTCATAAGAGCATAGAGCTCTTGAGATTTTTGAACTTTTCTATATGTATTTTACACTTCAATGAAGAAAAATAGAATTTAAAAAACACTACTGCAAGTGAAACAATTTGGGAAAATAATGATAAACTTTGTGGTACTGACCTGAAGTATGCAGAAAGGCATGTAGAAAACGGGATTATCAAGATTAGCTAGAGTAGTTGAAGGAGCCTTTTGGTAGGAGATAGGCCTTGTAGATGGGATCCACACAGCTTAAAGGGAGGAAGAAAATGATTCCAGGCAAGGGATCTAGATGGGAGATGTCTAAGAAGGAAATAAGGATGGAAAGTAGGTTAGAAGCTTGATTCATATGGAGTATTCATATTGTAAGTTTCGTGAAGTAATACTATGCAGTAATTTTTTATTTCATGCCAGCAATCATTTGAGGTGTAATTTACATACAGTAAACTGCACAAGTCTCAAGTGTACAGCTTGATGAGTTTTAATATATAGTTTTGTATATTACACCATACAGATCAAGATTACAGAAACTTACAATACCCCCAAAAGTTTCCTTGGCCCCATTCCGGTTAATACCCACCTCTACTTCTAAGGAAAAAAAGCCACTATTCTGACTTTTATTACTCTAGAGTATTTTTGGCTGTTCTTGAGCTTTGTATAAATGGAATCATACAGTTGTCCTGTTTTACGTCTGGCTCTTTAAAAATATACATTGTGAGATTCATTCATTTTGCTATGTCTTCTGGATGATTTGATCCTTTTACTATTATGAAATAGCTGCAGGTATTTCTCAGAAATGCTGTATTTATTTCATCAAAGTTGTTTGGGGGAGCTTATCAGTTCTTAGAGTTGTTCCATGATAATAACGAGGTGGTAAGCTGATTAAATGAAATACTGCTCTGCCTTGGTTTCCTTATTTTAAAAGTGAGTATGATAAAATACTTGTGTTAAACACTGTTAAGAAAATAATTATATTAACACAATTATATTAAATTTAAATAAGCCAGGAATGTAGCCATTACTGTAAGATTCTTAGACAATGTTTTGAATGGGTAGCATAATGATGAGACATCTTCCAAGACTATGTTTCAGAAGATGCTTGTCATTGTGGAACTGCTAGTCAGCTGTTGTATTTAAGTTTAACCATCAGCTATCTGCTTTTTTTCTAATTTTGTTACAGGCTCAAGTTCTACGGTTATTAGCCATCAATTATTTGGATTGGGATGGCACCAAATATTATGATAAGGCTCTCAATGCTATAAACCTAGCAAACAAGGTATGAGGCTCTTATTTTTGAATACTAACTTAATGTGTTTTTTGAAGTTTTGATCACATTTTGAAACCCAGTTTAGACATTTGCTTCAGCATTTACTCTCACAGATTGTTGTAATCTCTTCTATAGCACAGAAAGGAAAAATAAAATATTGCTATAATCTGAATGTTTGTGTCCCCTCAAATTCCCATGTTGAAATCTTAACCCCCGAAGTGATGATATTAAGAGGTGAGGGCTTTTTGGTGTACAATGGAGGTAAAAATAAAAGAGGTGGGGACTTTGGGAGATGATAAAGTCATTGGGAAACTCTCTTGAATGGTATTACTGCCCTAATAAAAGAGGGCCGCAGGAGCTTGTTGACCCCTTTTACCATGTGAGGACATGAGAAGGCACCAGGCACCTTGACGTTGGAGTTTCTAGCCTTCAGAACTGTGAGAAATCAGTATGTGTTGTTTGTGAAGTATTCCGTTTATGATATATTGTTATAGCAGCATGAACAGACTAAAACAAATACACTTCTTTGAACACCAGAGATTTTTGAGAAAAATTTTCTTTCCATGAAACAAATAGTGCACGCATGTAATCCCAGGTACTTGGGAGTCTGAGGTAGGAGAATCACTGGAATCCAGAAGGGAGGAGAGGATGCAGTGAGCCAAGATTGTGTCACTGCACTCAGCCTGGGCAACAAAAGCCAAACTCTGCCTATATATATATATATATATATATATATATAGTATTTTCTGTAAATAAAGATAGTTTTACTTTTTGCTTTCCAATCTGCATGCCTTTTGTCTCTTTTTCTTTTCTAATTATTCTAGCAAGAACATCCATTACTATGTTAAATAGAATTGGCAAGAGCAATTTCTTTTTCTAATCTTAGAAAGCGAGCTTTCAGTATTTTCCCATTAATTATGGTGTTAGCTATGGGTATAGCATAGATGCCCTTTGTCAGGTTGAGGAAGTTCCCTTCACTCCTAGTTTTTTAAGAATTGTACAACTACTTTGAAAACAAATTCGACATCATTTGATAAAGTAGAATTTGATCATACCCAACCACCCATCAACTTCACTCCTAGGTGTATACTTTAGAGAAGCTCTAGCATTTGTATACAAGGAGAGGTGTACAGAATGCTGATTGCAGGATTGTTCATAATAGCAATTGGGTTGAAAACAGCTCAAATGTTCAAAATATAATGTGCAAACAAATTGTGATTTAGTCATATAACACAATACTATACAATAGTTGTTCTCAAACTTTTAACTTGTTATAAGTATTACCTAGAGCGTCTGTTAAACAGTTTTCTCATTTATTACCTTACTAAACAGATAATAGAATTCGTGTTGAATTGGAAACTTTCTATAATGCAAATCAATAATAATTATTTTACACATTTTCTTACACACATGCCACACACAATTTGCTAGGCAATACTCCCAGAGTTTCTCCTTCAGTAGGTTTTGGATGAGGCTTGCATTTCTAACAAGTTCCCAGATGGTGCTGAATCAGGGTCCACCTTTTGTGAACCATGCTATATAGTAATGAAAACAAATAAATTTCGTGTATCAATATGGATGAATATGAAAAAACATAATTTGAATCGAAGTCACAGAAGAACATATCTAAGAAGCCAAAGAAGAACTTATATGCATTATGATTGTTTAAGTGAAGTTCAAATGTAGACAAAACTAAATTGCGTTGGCTAGGTTGAGCTGTTATAACAAAATACTATAGACTGGGTGGCTTAAACAATCTCAAAAGAAAATAAAATTAACTGTTTTGTAGTTTTGCTTACAAAGAACATGGCCCGAGATTCATACAGTTTAAGTATTGATCTTGTCATTAAATGTTTGTCACTCATTAGAAATATTTACATGTTCTTTTCCATATATTATTTCATTTAGATTGAATAAAATATTGGGAAGTATCCTCAGGGATAGAATGAATGTTATGATATAATCTTTTGTAATTTTGATTTCCTTTGATCATGAGTTATCCCAAGGTGGTTTAATAAAGCTAGCAATTACTTGAAAATTGTCTTTTACATTCCACAATTTTAATATCATTGTGATTTCTTTGTTTAAAATAGGAACATTTAAATCCTGCCGGGCTTTTCTTAAAAATGAAAATCCTCTTGAGAGGCGAAACAGCTAATGAAGAACTCCTTGAAGGTATGATCTCTGTGTGTGAAGAGCACACCATTTTGAAACATCACTACAATTTGTTAAATATAAGAACTTTGGTAGTATACTAAAAATAGGTGTAATTTGATGGTGGCTGAGAAGAAAACTGATCACCTAGGAAAGGGAAAATATTGTCACCCAGGAAGAAAGAGAGAAAGAAGAAAAAATGGTAGCAAATTTTAAAAGTTTTTTTTTTTTTTAAAGCTGAATAAAAGCAATCAGTTTTTTTTTAGCCCAGCAGAGAACTGTAGCTACCCAACCCTTCTGAAGTTGTCTAGCACCATGAAGAAAGAAAGACTAATTATTAATGGGAAAAGCCTTTGTAATGCTGTGTTTTTTGTAATTACTTGTTTACAAAATTGCTATTTATTTATCATAATTCTCCAAGGACCAGAATGTACACTGCACAAAAGTGGGTAATTGGGCAAGTCACTTATCTTTGCTTTGTTTTTTCATTTAGCAAAAGAGATATTATTATCTACCTCATCGTGTTGTTTTGAGAATCTTATGAGAAAATGTGCATAAAGCTTTTAGCACCATACCTGGTTCATAGTGTGCAATATATGCTACCTATTACTATAATTATTATCATTGTTACTGTTATTACTACTATATGGATGCATTACATGAGGCAAAACTTTGCACATTAACCCTTAATATTTCAGTTTTGTTTAGTCATAAAAATTATTTACTCTAAAATTCTTTTAATGTTGTACATTCTTTTTAGTAATCTTTAAGAGCTGCATTATTTATACTAAACAAAGTTATACTTTAGTATAATTACTTATTATCCAATAAATAATAACAATTTGTTATAATAAGGAATATAATCCAATTTGGCAATAGCCCGAAATTTAGTACTACTGACTCTTTCAGTTGCTTCTAGATTTTTAGCCAATCACTTAAAGAGACTGCAGAAGCTCAAACGTATTGGGGATTCTGCATCTCTAGGCAACAGTATCACCTCAGCATACACAAGTTGAAAAATATTACAAACCAGGAAGACAACTCTACTTTTTTGCATTAGGGGAATAAGCAAACCAGCTAACCAATTAAAAGAATACATTACTCAATCTAAAACAACATAGGAAGACCAGAGAGATTATTGGAGTCACCAAGTTGAAGTAGATTAGTTTTGGAAGATAATTCCTCATGACAGTGTTTATCCAAATGTAGGTAAGAAGTAGAGTTTAAAATGAAATTATTCTTTATTCCCAAATTGTTTTTACTTAACTAAATCCTGATACTCCTGAAGTTGCAATGTCAGTTGTAGTTTGATTACAGATTAGGAGGCTAATCCAAATCCAATTTTTTTATATTTAAAAATACTAGATTTTTGCTTTGTTGCATTGAAAGAATGTATGAAACTTGGATTTTTATATTCTATTCATTGCTTTGCTGGTGAAAATACTTTACTCTTAAAATGGTCAACCTATGGCTCACACCTGTAATCCCAACACTTTGGGAGGCCAAGGAAGGTGGATTATGAGGTCAGGAGTTCAAGACCAGCCTGGTCAACATGGTGAAACCCCGTCTCTACTAAAAATACAAAAGTTAGTCAGGCGTGGTGGTGCATGCCAGTAGTCCCCGCTACTCAGGAGGCTGAGGCAGAAAATCACTTGAACCTGGGAGGCTGAGGTTGCAGTGAGCTGAGATCGTGCCACCACGCTCCAGCCTAGGTGACAGAGCGAGACTGTCTCCAAAAAAAAAAAAAAGTTAACTCAACCTAACTGCTGGCATTATTGCACTGATATTTTTTGTAGTAGAACGATTGACATTTAAAAATAAACATTTTTCATTATTAAAGGATAGCACATAATAATTTAAGACATTTTTGGAAAATATTAAAAATACTTATAGTCCTATCATCCACTAGAAGCTCCTTGACAGCAGGAATTTTTGTTTTCTTTTATCCACTGCTGGGTTCTCAGCATGAAGCACAGTGCCTGACACAGAGCATATGCTCATTAAATATTTGTCAAATAAATAGAATCTAAACACAAACTTTTAGAAAATTGATCACATATTTTCAGTATACTTTCTTAGTTTACTTTGCTTGTATTACGGAATTGTGACTATATAGTACATAAAACTTTGCTCTAGTTTTTCACTTACTAATCTTACATATTTTTCATATTAGTGTATAATCATTTTTTTCATGTTGTTTCATACTCAACAGTTTTAATGGTTGCACAATAGTTTATTGCTATCCTATAATAGACATACAGTGTCTATTTCTTTTCTATTATTATTGTAATCCACACTGCTTTTAATATTTTTGTTCATAAATTTTCTCCATATTTATTCCAGGTGACTTTTCAGAAGCACAATTTCTTAAAGGGATAATAATAATAGGAGCTGCCATTTATTAAATGCTAGGTTCTTTGCTATGTAATTTCCATACATTATCTTATGTAATCCTCTCCACAACCCTGAGAAATCGGTGGTATATTCTCCATTTTACAGGTGACAAAACTAAGGTATAGAGAGCTTAACTTGCCTATGGCTATACAAGTAGCAAGTGGTTTCAAATTTAGATCTGTCTGACTTCAGATACCAAGCTCTCTACCCCAGTGTTCTTAGCATGTAGTATTGCCAAGCTGCTTTTTAAAAGGATTGCACCAGATTACTTTGCTATCTGTGCAAGACTGCCTGTGTCATGACACTCTCCAGCACTGGATGTTAATACTTTAAAAGAAGATTTTGCTAAATTGTTAGGGAAAACATGGTATTTGGCAAACATTTAGTAAGTGGATTTTGAATAGAGGAAAATTATTGAAAATAGCTAAGGTTCCTCAAAAACAAAACTGATAATAATTATTTCATATTTTCATCTTGTTAGCTGTCATGGAAATACTACATCTTGACATGTCCTTAGACTTCTGTCTGAACATTGCTAAACTGCTGATGGATCACGAAAGGTACAGAATTGATTTCCCTTTCTCTAAAGACTGACAATTTTTGGCTAGGCAACAGTGGCTCACACCTAGAATTCCAGCATTTTGAGAGGCTGAGGCAGGAGGATCCCTTGATCCCAGGAGCTTGAGACCAACCTGGGCAATGTAGCGAGACCCCATGTCTACAAAATATTTTGTAAAAAATTAGCTGGTATGGTGGCATATTCCTGTAGTCATAGCTACTCTGGAGGCTGAGGTGGGAGGATCACTTGAGCCCAGCAGTTCAAGGTTACAGTGAACTATGATAGTGCCACGGCATTGCAGCATGGGCAACAAAGCAGGACTGTCTCAAAATTTTTTTAAAAAATTTAGTCTCTCCTTCACACTAGCCATGTATCAAATCCCAATAGCCGCATGTAGCTAATAGGCTACCTTATTGGACATTACAGGTTTAAAAAATTTCCATTATCACAGTGAAGTTCTATTGGGCAGCACTGATTTAGACTCTATATTTCTTTTAATGCAGACAACATTTAAATTAGCTCTTTTCTGTCAGCTACATCACGTGGTCAGTTTCCTGGACTTATGAAACTGTATCTTCACAATATCAATTGCTCTTAATGACTGATATCCTCCATTATGGTTAAGTACTCATTTACCATACTTTATAAACTATTAAATTTCAGCCTGATTGTCACAGTCTGTTTTTTTCAGTTATTCTGATCTTTGTGAATTTCAATTCTATCATGCAATGTATTACCTATTCCTCCTAGTCTGTGTGATCTTTAAATTTGGTATTGCCACCTGTCTTCATCTAATTCAGGGTCTGCAAACTCTTTCTTACAGGATGAGATATAAGTATACATTTTGGGCTTGTGAGCCACACAGTCTCTGTCACAACTAGTCAACTCTGCTGTTGTAGTGGAAAAGCAGCCAAAGACTAATCATAAACAAATGTGTGTGGCTTTATTCCAATAAAACTTTATTCATAAAAACAAGTAGCTAGACTGTAGGCCATAGTTTTCTAATTCCCGATAATTTGATAAACAGGGCAAAACTGAGGCCAGAACCTTTGTGGCAGCCTAGAATAATCTCCAAGTTAACATCAATCGATTAATTGATGCTTTTTAGGGTACAAGCATTGAACCTGTTATAAATTCAACCAATTCTATAGCCAGATGGCCTAATTACCTTCATCTTGTTCACAAAAGTTTCATGGAACTTAATTTTTATTTTTTAAAATTTTGGTTGTTTATACCCTTTCTTCTTCCAAAAAGAATTTGAAGCTTCTTATATTCAAGTATATAATAAAGCTTTGAAATTGAAATAGAATATCAAAACCCTGAAAAGGAGGAAGCAAACATGCCAAACACAATGGCTAATACAGTTTGCTGTGGTAGAGCATTAAATTTAACTGTAAGCTTTCTTGCAGCCAGGGAAAAGGGGCAATATGATATTTTATACAATTTTCATTATTAAATAACAAAAGCTAATATTTACTGATACTTGCTTTGTACTAGGCACTATTCTAAATTCTTTACATTATAAATTATGAGTAACCCCATTTTGCAGGTGACAAAAATGAGGGTTAGATAGAAAAAGTAATTTGCCCACAATTGCATAGCCAGGAAAGGAGCAGAGCTGGAATTTAAATATATTTACAGAGCTCACACTTTTTACTACTGTAGTAGAAGGAATACATAAAGACTGAAAAAATTCCCCTTCAATACTACATTCTAAAGCAATTAGTCACAAGAAAAAGTTTACACACTGGTGGACTATGGACTGGATATGGCCAGAGATGTGTTGCATATAGTTGAATTGGTGGCCAACATTTAACATTCAGGAAATTTCACACAAAAATGTGGTTTTTTGATTTCTCTTGAAAAAGTTGAAAAATCTGGAAACAATTGGCCAGTATTTCCACTAAGCAACGATTGGTTGGAGCTGAGTAGCAGTTGCCACCTTTATCCATAGGGTATGTTTTCTCCAGTTTGTCATAGTCCCCAGAATTCCTTATTTTTTCCTATATCTTGTACATCAAGTTGCCATTTATCTTTTTGTGTGTGTTGTTACTATAGCAGATCTAAGAGGAAAATAAAATATGGCCCCCACATCTCTATCCAAAGTAGAACGAAAGCTAGGCTGAGAAGATGTTGTAAGAAAATGGAAAGAATAAATTCCTTTCTTTTAGAAGTAATAAATTATTGTGTTTAATATGCAAAGTGTGTTTGCATCAATGAATACAACCCAAGAGTCCATTATGAAACAAAATATAGTAGAAACTACAATCAGTACATAGAAAATCTGTGTAATGAAAAACAATTCCAGAAAAGGTCTGACATTTCAACTGGGTTTATTTTGGAAAGTGAATAAAACAAGCAATCCTCTTGTAAAATGCAGTTTTGTAGTTATATATTAAGGGAAAAGATTGCCCAGGCAATAACTCTTTTACAGATGACAAGTTTACAAAAAAGTGTCTGCTGAATGAGTCACACAATGTATTCTTAAGTTTCAAATCCAAGTCTAACCAGAAATGCTGTTGTTTGGCACATTGAAGGTATGGCTGAGAATTTATTGGAGAAGTTACTTGAAGAGAGTAATTTATTTTTGGTGTTTTCTGTTGCATAGACATAAATAATAATGCCCAGTGAAGCATATTTATTTGTGGTGTCAAAGAGAACTTTGATATGATAGAACTTTTCAACATAGTGCCTTTGTCTTAAGTTTAATGTTAGACTGGTCAAAATAAGTATGACTACAGAATGATGTAATGATTCATGTTAACATAAGATTTGATATGAAACTTAAATCCAAAGTGGCAGTGTTTTTAAAGATAGGAAACTTCAGTGTATTAATTGTATAATTCACCAGGAAACACTGTCCTAAAAAGCTAAAAAATGAAACGTGTATATAGTAATAATACATGTATACCAGGTATTCTTCTGTGGCTTCAACAGAGATTATTGCGGTTTTTTTTTTTTTTTTTTTTTGGATGAATTGGATGCACAATACAGTAGCTGCTTCTGCTTCTTCTAGATAAGGGGGCTCAGTTGTATGTGGTGTGTGTCAGGTTGGGTTGCCCTGGAAGCAAATTTTGAGGTGAAAGTTAACATGAAGATAATTTATTAAAGGGTTGTTTCAGGATCAGCACCTGTCAAGGGAAGGGGATGCAACTGGACTAATGGGAGAAGTTGGCCTAGGTATAGTCAGAAGGCCTCAGCCTTACTTATTGGGAGCTCTGAAGCTGAGATGGTCCCTTAGAATTGTCCTCAGCTAAGGTCACAGGGCTGGTCCTTATATCCCGATGTTTACTAGTCTCTGTGTTCCAGTTACCCTGGGAAAGGAGCATAACCTTGGGTGTGGTAGCTTTTTTCAGCCTAGTGAATTCCCAAAGAGCAACTGGGGAATAAACACTTCAGTTCTGAAGAGGAGTTTTGGGGATGTAGTGCAGCATTTAAGTCAGGTGCTGAAGAGATATTTTTTGAAATGTTGAAAGAATTCAACTTGTTCATGTCATCCAAGGGAAAATCCCTGTCTCATCTCAATGATTGACTTTTTGGTGAATAAGACAATTCATATAAACACTCTGAATCTTTCTTTGCAAAAGTGCACATAAGTAGTTACACAAATGTAAAATTTAATTCACATGTTCTTAGTGAAGTCATTTATGGGAAACGCTTTTGACAGGAATAATATGGCTTACTTTTCTGTGCTGAAATTGGTGTTCAGAGATGGAAGTGATTACTTAAACTACATATTCAAAATTGTAGGTTTAGAGTGAATTCTAAGTTTTCTGATTTCCAACATTATGGTAATGAAAAATATTGCTTATTTTGTCTTTTTCAATTAATTTTACTAATGTCAGTAAAGAACTACGAATTGAAGAAATGGAACTGCAGTGTAGTGTGGTACTGAATCCTAATTAGACAACTTTAGAATATCAGTATGTAGTAGACATTTGCTGCTTTTGGCCATCCATCATTTTATTCATTCCGCTCTCTTCTTGATACAGTACACAAATTTCCACTTAAGTATCTACTTCTCCCTATCAGCCCATGTGGACATTGATATGTTGGTATAGAAGAAAGAATTTTAGGTTTCTATTTACAAGTCAACAAAGTAATCAATTTCAAAGGAAAATTTGATAAATTATTTATATTTTTAGATTTCAAATTTAAAATATAGCTTCTCTTTTCCTGTTCATACTATGTGTTAATGTGCTTATATCATCACTCAGTTAATCATAAAGTTTAATTACATATCTGGCAGTGGATATTTTTAGTCTGCTTCACTCATTTATGATACATATTTGGCTTCTGTAGACAGTGTAGGAAGTTGCATTATATATTGGACAATGCTTTTAGTAATTTTATAGCAAATGCCTTAGTATATTTTATGTAGTAAAGTTTTTTAAAGCAATCAAAGCTAAGCATGCAGAACGTTAACTGTTAGAAAGTGAACGAAGTGGCCAGGCACAGTGGCTCACACTTTTAATCCCAGCACTTTGGGAGGCTGAGATGAGTAGATCACCTGAGGTCAGGAGTTCAAGACCAGCCTGGCCAACATGATTAAACCCCATCTCTACTAAAAATACAAAAATTAGCCGGGTGTGGTCTCACACATCTGTAATCACAGCTACTCAGGAGGCTGAGGCATGAGAATCGCTTGAATCTGGGAGATGGTGGTTGCCGTGAGCCGAGATTGTACCACGGCAATCCAGCCAGGGCAACAGAGCGAGACTCCTTCTCAAAAAAAAGGAAAGAAAGTGAACGAAGTTCTGTAATGGACTAAGCTAATGTATTTCAGACCTAGTTTTGTGATGATCCACCTTGATGCAAGGATAAAATTTTGCATACATAGAATGGATGGAAATACTATGTCTCTTAAGTAATCTGTGTGTGTGTGTGTGTGTGTGTGTGTGTGTGTGTGTGTGTGTGTGTGTGTAATTTCGTTTTTTACAGTCAAGCTTCATTAGGAGACAGCAGAAAATTCCAGGTTATATGCTTATTAGATCCTAGTAA